ACACGATTATCCTATTCAAATTAAATTTTTTTCTTATCTTTTCTAACCTTTCATACATTTAATTATTTTGTAAGTTTTATGTCCCTTACATTAATAAATTAATTCAAATTAATTTAAATTAATTCAATAATAAAAAATTAAACCTTTGCTTTCTTATGTTGAAATCGATTGTGGCTGAGTTCCACGGCTTTCTTCACCTCTTTTTCAAACTGCAGTCGACCTTTTGTCACAAACACGTCTAAAAATGATATAAAAGGGGTAAGATAAAAGTTACGTATATCTATATATGTTATATATTACCAAATAAAATCTGGTTGACTAAATTTAGGTTAGACAACGCTTTTTTTTCCTTTCTGCCATCCCAATTGTAAAAATACAACAGTTCGTCCGCAAATAATTTTCGCATAACTGGATCCACGTCTCCAGAAGCGCCCTTCAGTGTGTGTATGTGCGTTTTCTGTTTTAAAAAATACGTAATTAGTTTCGACCAGGTTTTGAATGTAAAAATTACCATTGCAGTGGCGTATTCATGCTCATTCCTCCACTTCCATTGCTGCATCTATTGTAAAAAGCGGAAGTACGCTAGCAACTTCCACTATTGCTTCATCAACGATGTCGCCGGTCATTTTTCCCACGGACTGCTGCACCTTCGCCAAAATTATTTTACACTCCCGCATCAGGCGATTTTGAGCCATTGTCTCGTTCCTGTTAGTCATCTGAAATGGAATAAAATATTAATTGCAAATAAATCCAATTTTTATTTATTTAACCCACATTTTCACACAAAACCTTTTCCATAGCATCAATGCGATGATCTATATATGATCTATATCTTCACTATACACTTGATTATTTTGCACGAAACTATTTTGCACACCGGCGTGAAGCTCTTTTATTTTCTTCACATTTTTTTCAAATTCCGTTTTTTCCCTGCTCATACAGTTTTGAAAAGTTCGCTTATTCATTATTCTTACCTTTATTCCTTCATTCAGCTATTTTCTTCTTATTTCATTAATTTCTTTTCGCGAGTTTGCGAATGCGCATCTCACATTAAACTTTATTTTCTCAGGATATATGTAAATAAAAGTTATGGACAAGGTTAGTCGAAAAAGTACTCACTAAAAAGAACTCGTTTAAAAGAACTCGTTGAAAAGAATTCATTATGATGTACTCGGTATTTTTGATGTTATAATAGACAATTTTTACTTATTTCTGTTTTTGATCAATTATATTAATATCATATTAATATTTATATGAACTTCCTAAACAAATTTTAAAGAGCATAAAATGTTTTTGAATGACATCGACGCAATTTTTTCCGAACCGAGTTAAAATATCAATTACTTTTGTCAGTAAGTTTTGTGGCACTAACAACATCTTACACAAGCAGTTGTCTCTTTCTCTCCTTTCCGAAAAATTTGTTACAAAATGTATGCCATTTACTATGAGTGGGAAGAACTGAATATATATTTTTAAATTTTTGCTATTTAACAAGAAGAAGAAGAGCGAAAATATTTTGCATATGTATTAGTTTTTTCGAAAAATTGTACATATGTATTGGAGAATCGGGTAAGGCTGTCTACCAGGGTTCAAGAATGCATACAACCGATTTCTACTGGGCATTTTCGTAGTTGCGCATGTGTTAGTGCGCTGCAGCAGAACTGCCACTTTAATGCGGGGTAGAAGCTGGAACAACTTTTTGAGAAACTTTCCCTGCAAAAAGTGGGACTAGATTAAACTCTAGTACAGGACCACACTACGACGTAACCAACACTAGTAACCGAAATGGTCCAAATATATGAAAAAAATATGGTTACATTAACATTGCGATGTCATTGGATCTGACCACCTTTGGTCCAACGCAGCATAACACTGGACCACCTACGTAACCACACCTTTTGTACCATCGACGCGACTGCTTACACTGGACCACATACGTAACCACACCT